ATACTCGATCAAATCCGAGCGCATTTTTCTTCTCTTTTATATAAAACTGTAATCTCTCAGACTTTGGCGCGGAGAAGTTACTCGCAACATGAACAGAAATCGTTGACATATGAGAAATGTTAGTGTTGTAATTATAAATATAGTTTTGTCGAGAATTTCACACGGTGATAAATATTTCGACGAGCCACGATAAATAATTCTGCAAACTACTGTAAGTGTTATTCGTGTAATTATACGTACATGTGTGTGTATATATATATATATGAAACAGAATCACGAAGGGCTGATCGTGCGATCGGAAACGAAGGTGAACAACGACGTGTTTGCTCGATGCCCAAAGCTGCGTGTCGTCGGCCGAGCAGGTACTGGCGTCGACAACATCGATCTTCAGGCTGCCACGAAGAAGGGAGTCATCGTGCTGAAGTATATCTACTTTCTCCTTTTTTTTACCCTCTCTCTTTCTCTCTCTCTCTCTCTCTCTCTCTCTGCGCTCTACTAATTCTCTTCTTCCTCGGTAACTTCTCTTCAGTGCTCCCGGTGCGAACAGCATCAGTGCTTGCGAACTGACGTGCACGTTGATCTGCAATCTGGCGCGAAACGTACCTCAGGCAGTTCAGTCGCTGAAGGAAGGACGATGGGACAGAAAACTGTACGCCGGTTTCGAGTTGTCGGGGAAGACACTTGCGGTAGTCGGTATGGGACGCATCGGTCGCGAAGTGGCTCGAAGGATGCAAGCGTTTGCAATGCGAGTGATCGCGTTCGATCCGTTGCTCACGCAACAGGTCGCCGATGAGATTGGCGTGGAGAAACTCTCTTTGGATGAAATATGGCCAACAGCCGATTACATCACCGTGCACACGCCGCTTATTCCACAGACGAGAAGTACTTGCACTACTGTTGTTATTATTAGTAGTAGTACTGTCTACTCGTAACAAAATACTTTGTTACATTATTTATTTTCCAACACCGACGACCAACCTTACTTGGAAGAAACTTACAGATATAGATAATCTTTGGTGCAGATCTGATCAACGCTACGACGCTGGCGAAATGCAAGAAGGGAGTGTACATCATAAACGTAGCTCGCGGCGGTATCGTGGACGAAGAGGCATTGCTGAACGCGTTGAAGTCGGGCGATTGCGCTGGCGCAGCTTTGGACGTGTTCGTCGAAGAGCCACCGAAGAACCCAGTTACTCTGCAGTTGATCGCACATCCCAAAGTCATTGCTACTCCTCATTTAGGTAATAAAACAAAGACTCGAATTCCCATCCACAGTTCTGTTGCAACCGAAATATTAAAACGCACCGTGATACGTATGAATTTACATTCGTGCGATTTTCGTCACGAATTAATATATATATATGTATGCATGATTGATACGATATTTCACCTTCTCTTGTAACTTTGTTTGTCACGTGTCGTCTCACAGGGGCAAGTACCGAGGAAGCTCAGCAGCGGGTGGCCGAAGAGATAGCCCAACAATTTCTAGCGTTATCCGGCAAATCGACGAAATACGCGATTACTGGGATCGTAAACGCGCCGATGTTGCACGCAGCGATCGCATCGGCTGAAAACGCATCGTGGATCGAATTGTCGAAGAAGCTGGGCCAACTGATCGGTCGATTCTTAAAAGGGAAGCTGAACGTAACTGTACACAGTGAAATAGTGGGCGGTGCAAGCATGCGAGAAAAATCGTTTGTTCACACGGCCGTTCTCCTCGGAATTTTATCTGGCCAAACAAAGAACGGTTTGAACCTGATAAATGCACCTGTACTCGCTCAAGAGACAGGCATCGAGGTCAAGGAGAGCCACGAGGAATCAGCCGATGTCGAAGCGATCGTTGTCCAGGCCAAAGATCATTCGATCAAAGGTAAGAAACTCGTACAAATGATGACGTAGATACTTTTTTTTTTTCGTGAGTGAATACTGAAAATGTGCAAGATAGTGACAGGAAGCAACATTTCAGGAACTGTCCGTGACAACGAGCCGCTGTTACTCTCGCTTGATGATGCACGCTTCGCCAATGGAATTGCTCTGAGGAACCACGTCTCCTTCTATCGAACGAACAAGGTCCAACATCTAGCGCAAATCGTCACCGCCTTCTCTACCAAAGGCATCAACGTTTGCAACTTGAGTGTTAACGGAAGCTGGACGATGATACAAACCGATGAAGAAGTTTCCGTGCGTGTTAACGGCATCGAGTCCTTCTGAAATTCATGTCGTTCGATAAATACAAGAAAGTATCGCAGTATTTCGGAACCTGGTATCACTTAATTTCACACACGTCCGCCTCGTTCTATTCGACATATTAACGTCAATGTATCGGTCAAACACGACATCCTTCGACTCTATTATTTATTGCTCGAATGGAAAATGTCGAAAGAAGGAATAGAATAGGTTCCATGGGACGTATATTACCGATATATATTTACGTAGATATATCGATAATACGTCCATCGACTCTATTATTTATTGCTCGAATAAAAAATATCGGAAGAAAGAATAGACTGGATTGTGTTTCCGTTATAAATCTTAAACATCTTTATAAATCTTATATACGTATACATGTATTGAAAACTAAAAATATACAAAAAGATATGTGTATATATATATATATATATATATATATATATATATA